TTGAACCGCCAGCCTTCTGGTGAGCAGTCAAGTGCCTTAGGCACTATGCTACTTACCTAATTTTAAGCCTCTCAGTTTTCTTGAGAAGTAGCTATTCCAGTTGTGATATGGGCTACTTACTGCCTGGAGAGTACCTGTATAACTGGGTGAATCTGAAGAAATGAACTTCACCCTACCAATCTTACCATCAGGGTACACTTGGCTCATATATGTCCTACATAATTATAGCAAAATCCATATCAATGGATATATGGAAAGAGTCTATGACCACCATGATAACATTAGGAAATGGGAGGACATGAATTGTGCACATAAGAGATAGACGGCAGATGCTAATACCAACCAATGTGTCCACAAAATAAAAAAGAAAATATCTAGAAAAAAAATAAAAAATCCATATCACCTCAAAGAAAACCTTTCCCCCTTGATCTCAGCATGCCTTCTATTACTGAAAACACATGGTACCAAGAAAAAATTCAAAGCAGAAAATAATTTGGTCGTGAAAGGGTTAACACACAAATAATCTAAGGCTTCAACAGGTTTGCTGCACCTTCTCTAAGTCATAGCCCACTACCATAAGCACCAGGAAACTTAAAGATTTCAGATGCAGGGGATGAGCCAGACTTCCTACTTTAAACAATTTACTCATTTTTGCATTCAGCAAATTAGATCTTTTTTTCCAACATTTTATTGCAGTTTGGCTTACAGAGCAAATTAGTCTCCCATTCAACAATTTATACATATCTTGTTCTGTGACATTAGTGCAATCCCCTCAAGATAACAGCATTCTTTCCATTTCCCCCCCTGGGTTCCCTGTTTTTATGTGTTCTTCTTTCCTGCCCCTTCTGCCTTTCGGACTTTGTTTTTGGGCAATGCTGCCCTTTTGGTCTTGCATTGTTGCTTGTTTTGAGGAGTACATTAAGCATGGGTGTTAGCTCACATCATAGGCCTATCTATTGTTTAGCTGAAAGGTGATCCCTGGGGGTGAGTTCAGTGCCAGGTTTGAAGACTGTGTAAAGCCATAGTTTCAGGTGTTCCACAGTCTCTATCAGACCAATAAGTCTGTTTTTTTTTTTTTTTTTAATGATTTTGAATTTTGTTCCACATTTTTTCTCCCAAGGATTACTTTTTTTTTAAAGAATATTTTCTCATCATCTAAATCTAAAAACCCTTTATAAGATGTTTTTGACCACTTTACAGATGTGAGGAGATGAAAAAAATGTTCTGTAACAGTAAAGATTCTATATTGTATACATTTATGTGTAATAAGCAGCTATGTTGTTGTCAGTTGTCATGGAGTTGATGTCAGCTCCTAATAACCCCATGTGTGCAGAGTAGGACTGCTAGGGTCTTCAAGGCTGTTTGGAAGCAGACTGCCAGGCCTGTGTTCAGACGCCCCTCTGAGTAGGTTTCAACCACCAACCTTTCAGCTAGTACTCAAGCACTTAGCCGATGGCTTCACCCAGGGTATCCTTAAGCAGCTATAACAGTGGCACATCCTTTTCTTCTTAGATCTACATCTCCACTGGCAAAGCTTCATGGATCTTCCATTTTGGAGAGGCACCATCTGGAGTACAGTAAGACCCTACTGCAAGATGAGGTATGGGAGCCTCTTATGAGCTTCAGGTCAAAGCCCTAACCCCCAAAATGCTCAGAACTGGACAACCTTGAATGATGGCAGTGACAATATATACCCTTACTGAAATCAATTGACTTAGAACTTGTTATTTCACAAGTTTTAAACAACCAAATTGGAAGTAGCAGAGATAGAGAGGAAAAAGCCATGGAAATTAAAATATAAGAATTTGGATTCAAAACTAAAATCTATGTAAGGAAATCACAGAATCTTCATCAGTCTGTGGGGAAACAAGGAAAAAACTTATGGTGGGTGTGATTGGGCTCTACATCTGGGAAAAAAAAACAAAACCAAAAAACCACTCAGTACCTTCACGTTAACTCTGACCCGTAGTAACTCCTCCTTGGGTTTCTGAGGCAGTATCTCTATGGAAGTAGATTGCCCAGTGATGAATAAATGTAAAGGGGAAAGGAGGCCACCTAGCCACTGATTTACTCATCCCTTCAGTGTGTACTGAGTTCTTCTAATCTGGAGCATTCATAGTCAGGCATGGTCCATATCTTGAGAAAGTCAAGTTTAGTACAGGAAGGAGGCACGAATCAGGACGTAAGACAGTATCAGATGCCCGCCATCTGAGAGGCACTGAGCAACACCCTGAGAGTTCCAGAGGCTGATACACTGCTGTGAGGACTGGGGCAGGGGAGAAGAAAGAAGAAGCGTGGCATTAGAGGTTGCTTTATACAGGAGGTGGCTTTGAGTTTGGTCTTGAACTCACTATGATTTCCACATAGCGTGCACATTCCATAGGGGGTAGCGATTCTTATCCCCTTTATCAATGATATTTTATGGGTATATAAACCAAAAAGAAAAAACAAAACAAACTCACTGCCATTGTGTGGATTCCAACTCATAGCAACCCTCATTGGGTTTCCAAGGCTCTAAATCTTTACAAAAGCAGACTGCCCAATCTTTCTTCTGCACAGTGGCTAGTGGGTCCAAACCACAGACCTTCTGGTTAGCAGCCAATTTCCTTAATCACTACATGACCAGAGCTCCTTGTGGAATAGTTGTAGATGCAATAAATTACACTTTTTTTCTTTTTTTTTTTTTTAAATCTCTTGAGAAAGTTCCTAATCAAAAGTGATTAAGATGAGTCATCACCAGATTGAAGGCAACATTATTTTGTCATGGATAGAGAATTTGCTTAGAATTACACATATTCATTAGGGCAAAAAGGCCCTCTGGAGAGTGGGGTTTTTCTCAGTTCCTAGTGGTTAAGCATTTGGCTGCTAACTGAAAAGTCAGTGGTTCAAAGCCACCAGCTGCTCTTCAGGAGAAAGATGTGGCAGTCTGCTTCCATAAAGATTCAGAGTCTAGGAAACCCTGTGGGGCAGTTCTAGTCTGACCTATAGGGTCACTATGAGTCAGAATTTACTAGACAACAATAGGTTTATAATATCTTAAGGAGTCCTGGTAGCACAGTCAGTAAGCCATCAGCTGCTAAGCAAAAGGTCAGTGGTTTAAACCCTCCAGTTGCTTCACAGGAGAAAAATGTGACAGTCTGCTTCTGTAAAGATTTACAGTCTTGGGAACTCTATGGGTAGTTCTACTCTGTCCTATAGGGTCACTATGAGTTGGGATCAATTTGACGGCAATGGACTTATAACAATTTATAATAACCTTCCATCCTGAGCATGCCTTGCTCTCGGAGAACTGCTGCTCGTGAAACTCCCGACCAGTGATTCTTAGACAGGTTCTCAGACAACGGCATCAGAATCATTAATTTGCCAGAGTAGAAATAGGGAGACTGTTAAACACATAGATTCTGGGCTTTCTGGAGTTGGGGTCCAGGAATCTGCATTTTCTATCAGAATTCTAGTAATTCTGATGTGCAAATACGAAGCTGGAGCAGAATTCAACCATAAAAATGATAATAATTCTGTATTGTGAGAAACAGAAAGAAGAATAGAATTGAAAGTCATTCAGGAAAGTAAGAGTGAATTGTTATTACTCAATTTGTTAAGTCTTTGTTTTGCTGGTTGGGACAATTTTGAGCAAGAATTTTCTGTACATCCCAATGATTATGTGACATTACAGTCAGGTGGTGTCAAATATAATGTATGATTGAATTATACATTTACTTACTAAAGCAAAACATATTTTAAAAAAACAGCAGCCACATATTTAAATGCTTAACACTGGAAGGGCCCTAGTATCTTTTATGTTTTCTTTCTGGGATTTGACAGTTTATAGTTACGGTTTTCCATCTTAATTTTTTTTAATGTTATTTACTCAGCAGTCTGAACTGGCTTTGATGGCTATTTAAAAAGACTTGTTATTCTTTCTAAAAAGAAATATTGCATCTCAGTAATCCATACCATCTTTGTGAGAACCTTTCTACAATACTATTCAAACCTGCTAATTGCAGACTTTTAAAACCTGGTAAATAGAGTCGCTAGGCAGTGCAGGAACACAGAACTTGTTTATGTGCAGTCAAATGGCATGCAAAAAAAAAAAAAAAGGAAATTTTTAGTCATCAGATGTTCTTTTCTTTTTACATATTTGGGAGACAATGTAGTTCTCCTGGCTTTTTTTTTTTTTTTTTAATGTTATAAGGAAATAATGTCCACATTTAATAACTTTAATTTTTTTAAAAATAAGGGAAGTTCTTAGGGTTTGTGCAGCAATGTTGGCCTTTTATGGGCATTACTCAGACACTTTGTTTTTTTCATTATAAAATTTTGAACTAAAATGTCCTTAACTCCAAGTAGAAACAGATTCACTGCTTTAAGGATTAGGAGCACCTGTATTCTGTTGTTGTTGTTATGTGTCGTGGAGTCAGACCCTACTCATAGGGACCCCTCCTTGGGTTTCCGAGGCAGTATCACTACGGAAGTAGATTGCCCCATCTTCCTTCCAAGGAGTGGCTGGTGGGTTTGAACCGCCAGCCTCCTGGTTAGCAGTCAAGTGCCTTAGGCACTATGCTACCAGATCAAATCAGCTTTAACCCGAGTGAACAGGTGGAAACCTTGTTAGCCAAATATGCAGGGGAATACATTTTCAGACTATTCCGTCCTATAGAAATGACAAAAATAAATTGCTCAGCATAAATGACACAAATTTGTTATTATTCAAAATGCTTCTTTATGATATTTGTATGATAATTTGTGCTTTTTTTCATATCAACCTCATTGGCCTGTCTCATTTTGTACAGAGAAGGAATGAAGAAGAAATTAAGTGTCTTGTCTTTGGCCATCACGAGTCAAGAATTAGTTGGCAATATTCTCTAATGGATGTCGTGGTCCTCACATTGAAGATTAAAATGGCCTGGACTTGAAAATTGCCTGAAAGTCTCAATCAGAATAAATCAGAGCCATTTTCCCCTAGCTCGGTGTGCTGCACAGAATTTGTAGTTTTATCATCATTTTAATAGTCAGTGTAGAGCAAAAATAGACTCTTTCCATGATCAGGTGACCAGCTGAGCAAATAGGGGCCCGGTTGGAGCAGGGTTGGGAACTAGGTCTGCTCTTGTTCTGCTGCACCTGTCTTTATGTCATATTTTCAGCAGAATGCTTAGGGGAACGAATGCAATATTACATACTTATATATCTTTAAAATTAATGACTTATACTTGTAAGACGTGTGATAAATATACATGTCCACCATAAAGATTCAAGCAATCGGGAGAATTTCAAAGACAAATATTAAAAATCTCTTTGAATCCTATACTCAGAAATAGATATTTCATTAACATTTGATGAGCTTCATTGCAGCCAGCTTGTGAAATATACAGGCTGCATGGACAGAAACATTTTAGAAGAATTCGATCATACCATTTAAGCTATTTGTTTTTTCTATAGTCAGAGTTTTGTTTTTTAGTCAGATTAATTGAGGTATAAGTATACAATTCTATGAGTTTTTACAGTTTCATATGCCTGTGAAACTCCTTCCACAACCAAGACACAGAACACTTCTTTCACCCCATAAGATTCCTCAGGCCCCTTCATACCTATCTTTCCCTATATCCCAGCTCTAACAACATCACCCACCCCTCAGCGACATGGGTAGGTTTCAAAGACTAGGTCATTATGTGAAAATTGGCGTTATGCGATAATGGAGGGTGACCACATCAGAGCACAAAATGGAGGATGATTACATCCTTACATAACTGCCAAACCACTGAGAATCATGGCCCAGCCAAGTTGACACATAACCTTGACCATCACAGCTAGCATTAATCACTGAGGGCCTAGGTGAGATTAATTTATGTTATCTGTATCCATTATTGCCAGACATACATCATCAATGCACAAAACAGTCAGAAATTTTATTATTGTTGCAAATATGAAATGTTAGATATCAGGATAGTTGGTAAGTGAGGAGTGGGTGTATTGATACACCATTAGTCATTATAGCTAACTACAAACCCAAACTCACTGCCGTTTGAGTCAATACTGATTCATAGCAACCCCCATTGGGTTTCTGAGGCTGTAAATCTTTACTGCAGTAGATCGCCCCATCTTTCTTCCACAGAGCAGCTGGTGAGTTTGAACCACAGTTGATTGTGACTCGTGGTGACCTCAAATGTGTCAAAATAGAACTGTGCTCCATGGATTTTTTATGGCTGTTTTTTCAGAAGTAGATCACCCAGCCTTCTGAGATGCCTCTGTGTGGACTCAAATTATTTTTTTTCTAAAATTTTATATAAATGCAATTATATAATAGCTACTCCTTTGTGTTGGCTTCTTCCAAACGGAATAATTTTGAGATCTGTCAATGTTGTGTCCATGTTGTTGTTGTTGGGTGCCACCAAGTCAGTTCCAACTCATAGTGACCCAATGTACAACAGAATGAAGCATTGCCCAGTCCTGCACCATCCTCACAGTCAGTGCCATGGTTCAGTCTGTTGTTCCAGCCACCGTTATTGTATACATAATTCATTCCCATTCATTGCTGAGTAGCATTCCATTTATCTTAAATAAAAAGTATTACATTTAATTTTACTTGAATTTTACAGAAGAAAC